CCATAGGTATGTCTGCATACCAAATTTTAAGTTCATGTGACTTACGGTTCCGAAGCTGATTAAATATTTGACGCCTACGGGAGGTGCCATGCCCCCTTTTCCAATTCCGCCCATTTTCCCCCATAAGTATGAAATTAATTTCATTTATCTCGACACCAAGTTCCACTACTCTACCAAAAATTGTTTAAGAGATATACGACATGAACACGCCCCTTTTCCAGTACTGCCGATTTTTTTCTATGCCTATAACCTTCCCGGGATAAAAACAAATAAGTGTGCAAAGTGTCGTGCGATTCCATGTCGCGGTTCAAAAGTTATAACGCAATAAACAAACAGACCTTCACCCTTATATATATAGATTTAAATTTTTTTATAAAAGTCTACCTCATTTTATATATAATTAACTGCATTTAAATGCGCACTTTAAAATTTTTAGAAAAATTATAAAAATGCAAAATAATGCCAAAATTTCAAACTTTTTACTCAGCATTTTTAGAAAAATTTGAGGGACGCAGTTTTATAATAGCTCAATATATGACAACAACAGAAATGAAAATCATTCATACACTATAGGTGATTTGGAAAAAATTGTGGAAATAGCTGATCTCGCCTTGTTATAGGTTTTTATTTCATTTTGAGCGCCGAGCGATTAAAAGCGGATTGTGTGATTAATATTTAATTAATATGAGTTATAATAAGTTTAATAATTGCGCAGTACTATTGCAAAATGTATTCAAACAAATATTTTTTAAAAGTATGCGTATTTAAAAAAGAATTGTTTGTACATCTCTATTATAAAAGTGATTTGTGTTATTTATTATTACCCTCTGAAGGTATTATATTCGTTTTTGGTTTTAAAAACTATATTATAACAAGATGTCATTTTTAAAATAAAATATTTGTTAAATCGATTTCATGAATTTTTTTTGAAAAAAATTGGCGATTTTTGGCGATTTTTTTTCAGAAATTGCGCTTTTTTTGAAACAATCTGGACACACTGAAGTAGATTATCCTCATTTGCAAGCTTAACTTCCTAATCTGTAATTAGAAAAAGAGATTAGCCATATAAAATTCGTCCCTTGTTTATCTGTAATTATAAAATAATCTCAGATTTAGCCAATAACTTTTCGGTGTCCATCCTAGTTTTATCGATTGTTTTTGCGAAGAAGAGAAGAAAGCTGAAATTAGTCAAGAACGCAGAACGTAAAACGCAGTCTGTATACGCAGAATTTGGCGATTACTGGAGCCCTCAGTGTTGGTTACTACAGTGTGCCATTCATCAATGCCTTTTCATAAACTTACCTTTTCAACTACAATTTTTCGTGCTATAATAGATTGCAGCTAAATATAAACTACTTAGTTTTCAACAAAAAACCTTATTCAATAGTAAATTTCAAATATTTTAAACGTATTTTGAATAGGAACTTATAACCTTTTTACCATCTGCAAAACTGACAAAGTGGCAACCACCTATAGAAAGAAGGAAGAAATCAGATGACACGGAAAAGTCTAAATTCCGCGCTAAGGGCTACAACTACAGAAAAATTCTGCGGTGTTGAGTTTTCATTTACGTGGCGCTCTGGTAAGACAGATCGTGTCAGCTGACTCGGGTTTACGTACCGGTAGGTTTACGTTCTTGACTAATTTCAGCTGAAATGCGAAATGTAAAATTAAACAAAAATGGACGCTAGCAAGGAAAAGAGGTTTGTAAAGGTATTTTTAATAAAATATTAAGTTAAAATATATTTATATTGCTTAATATAGTAGAAAAACGTGATCACGGTGGCACAGAGAAGAAACATAACTTTTCCTTGAGATGTGAGAATAACAAGCACAAAAAATTTGAGATTTACCTGTGTAAACGGGGTGATTAAAAACGAGCTTTGATTGAGATAATATTTATATGTGAACATACTTTAAGTGCAAAAAGAGCCGTGAGCAAATCATGCTGCCATAACATTTTTTAATAAAGTTCCTCCAAATATGCCATACAAATACGTATGTATTTTTTTATACCCGAGCGCACTTGTGCACAAGGGTATTATAACTTTGTTCACATAACGGTTGTTTGTAACAGGCAAAACGAATCGAGATAGATATAGACAAATGTATACATAAATGATCAGAATGAAAAGAGAAATCGATTAAGCGGTGACTGTCTGTCCGTCCGTCCGTCCGTCCGTCCGTCCGTCCGTCTGTGCACACGATAACTCGAGTAAAAATTGAGATATCTTAACGAAACTTCGTACATGCACTTCTATTGGGCGTGGGACGGATGGTATTGAAAATGGGCGAAATCGGACAATAACCACGCCTACCTCCCATACAACGGTAATTTTCAGAAATACGAAAACTGCGATATTTTAGTAACTACTGAAGATAATTCACTCAAAATTGACATTTAGAATAACTTTTAGACGAGAAATAAGAATATTAAAAATTTTTGAAAAATGGGCGTAGCCACGCCCACTTATAGTTACATGTGTATATTTTGGAAACCGCTGCACCAATTTCTTCCAAACTTGGCACAGTTGTTGACCTTGGTACAGCATACCAAATGGCCGAAAATTTTTAAAATCGGACAATAACCACGCCCACATCCCATATAACGGTAATTTCGAGAAATACGAAATCCTCGATAAATCAGTAAATATTAAAGCTAATTTATTCAAAATTGACGGTTGCAACAATTCAGGAAATACGCTTATGATAAAATTTTGGAAAATGGGCGTGGCACCGCCTAATTATGATCACATTTATGTATATCGGTAACAGTCCTAGCAATTTGTACCAAACTCGGTATGATTATTGTGCTTGCCACATAAAAGCAAACCGTTGAAAATTATTGAAATCGGACTAAAATTACGGCCGCTTTTCATATAACGGTAAATTTCAGAAATGCTTGAAATTTCAATATTTCGAAATTTAAGGATGCTAGTTTACTTAATATTTATACACCCGCTTATCATGTAGCGGTAGCTTTCGGAAAGGTGGAAAACATATATTTAATACTTGCGCCGGGTATTTAATGTTCGGCTCCGCCCGAAGTTAGACTTTCTTACTTGTTATAAATGCAATTCATCTGGCAATCGAAAAATAAACTTTCAAATAAAGACAAAACGTGAAAAAAAACCATCACAATTTGATACGCGTAAATGCAATTATTTTAATTTGTAATTATATATCCATTTTTACACCAAACAAATTTAACGTTCAAAATTTTGCATATATAAATACTTATGTCGAGCATCAAAACAAAGAGAAAAAGTAATAGATGGCCCGCAGAGTAACCGTTGCCAAGTTTCTAAGTGACTTAAGTCTAAAGAGCCGGTTATATTTACATTGTACTGCAGCGCACAACATGAGTACTGTCACATATCGAATCGGTTTAATGAGTTTTGCACATGATTCAATAATACAAGGTTAGATAATTATTGACAGCTGCGGTTTGACACTCCCTTACAAAAGGTTGCATTTACGAAGGCCGGAGAAAGGGGAAGAATGAAATCTCTTGGTGCGAAAATGGTAGTAGAAAGGTACGCAAAGTAGGTAATTAGTAGTGGAATTCCTTTTGTAAATTCTAATGTATTTGCAGGAAATCTGGCATTTTAAACTAAATGATGAACGCAATATTGATATATCTACATTAATTAAGTAATCAATGTGCTATTTAGCTGTATAAAAACTGAAAAATGATTCAAAATTAAAATAAGACTACTATGATATTGATGTAAACATCCAATTTAAAAACAGTTTATGTTTTCATCAGTTAAATATGCTTCATATGCATATACAAATAAACATATTGCACAAAATCTTATACTTCTATTTCATATAAAAGCTACATTGTTTCCATTTTAATTTGCAGAGAAACAACACGGTGCCACTGCTAAGGGAGCGGTGCGAGAGAGACAACTGTCAGTTTATCGAACCTTGTATTATTGAATCATGAGTTTTGCATACAAGCGATTATCTGACGCAGCGCATGACAGGGAATGATAGCGAAATCCGGTGAATTTTGATTTTTCGCTATGTGACGTTTTAAAAGAGAGCTGCCACTCCTATTGCCTTCATTGGTCTGTTCCAGTACCCATAAGATTTACTGGAATTACTGGGAAGTCGTTCCTTTATATACATTGGATCATATTTATTATCGAAACAAAGTCGATTATAAAGTTAGTTGCCGCCATTCCATTAAAAATTAGTGTCGACTTCATTTAGGCTATGAATACGCGCTCTTCAGTTATGTCTGCCTAACTATATCCTGGAGTACTGGATTATACTAACTGATTACACTGAACAACTGATTCTAGGAGATTATGCGCTCTATGCGGAGTATGCTTCTCATGCACTGCTTTTCCATGCCCTGCACTGCAATGTAAGTATATTTAACCAGCGCTTAAGAGCACGGTTACCCATGATCGTGTACGCAGCGTACCTTAGAAGTGCGAAGAGACATCAAGTTTGCTGTTGATAGAAAGAGAGAGAAGCCAGGTCAAAGTCACGGTCATGCGGTGGTGAGTTTTTGTTAACACGCAGATCCCATAAAAATCTTGCGATAAGATAGATTGTGTCAGCTGGCACGTTTTCCGTTTTTACGTCCGTGGGTAACTGCGCTTGAAGTCTTGCATAAAATATGTCACTTGGTTTCGAAGATGCCAATAATTTCTGCCTAATAACAAAATGTTGTCACTGAAACTATTCTTTTGAATGATTATATCGTATATGCTCTCTGATTCATAAAAAAAACACAAATTTGTTTATCCTCTTAGAGCAGTCTTTCTCAAGGTTGGTCATATCGCCCCCCCAGCACGAAGCTCAGAGATGAGTAGGGGCATTTAATAAAAATTGGAACTGGTTTTAAAGATGCGCAGAAAATGTAAGTTTGAGTTAGATAATTTTAATCGGTTCTTACAAATAATTTTACTCACACGGACGGTGCACGAAATAAGTTTGAGAACCTTTGCCTTAAAGAAAAAGTAAATTTTTTTAATACTTACGAAAACCATCCAGGTATTTGATTATGTGGGTAGCGAAAAGCGGCTGCGGCAAATTCTGCGTAAGGTGCAGCATTAACAGCTGGATCGTAATCATAAGCGTATTCATTTTTTGTAATATGGTACAATAAATTTTTGTCGTAAGCATACGAAGATCCAATTAAAAGCGGTAACCAATCATAGAAAGTAATCTTTTGATATTGCGCGATATTTATTTTTCTTGCTTCTTGGAAAAGACGCTTATCCGAGAAATGAGGGTTCAGCTGTTCCAATTCCCTAGCAATTCGGTTATGTTCGCGCACAATAATGGTATGTAGTACAGCAATTGTTGGAATGAACTGATTACGCATATCTGGTATGCTATAGCATTGATAATTCCCATCTCCGCATTCAGTTTCAGGATTCATGGATAATGGCAACCAGTCACGGTTATTGACCAAACTTGTTTTAAGCAGACCGTGTTTAAAAACACGAAATTTTGAATTATGTTCTATGGAGTTGCCATAAACAAAGGAAAGATCAAGATATGCTGAAGTCATCGATATCTTTTCTGAATATGGCAAACCACTAGCGGAACATACAGCATCAGTATCAGAAGCACTTCTTGCGAAATTAAGGCACTTTTTCGCGGAACTCTGAGAAATTGGTCCGAGCGGATGAAGAAAGATTGGATAGCAAAATGTACTCTCCGGATGTGTACAGCAGTCATCTGAAGGATAAATAACAGAGACAAAACTATTATAAGAGAAAAGATTAATCAATAATTATTATATTAAGACAAATATTTTTCGAGTCATCTATAATTATTATCCAAAGAATTAGGTATATTATAAAAGTCCTTTCATAATAATTATCATAGAGATAAATATTTTTGAGTCTTCAAAGACTTTTATTTTATGACTTATATTTTAAAAGAAAAGAAATTTTAAGTCTGAAAAGATGGGACTTGTTCAAGAGCATTTCAGGATTAGTTGGGGACCAGATCGGGGCTAGGTGGAGACCAATTCGAGCCTAGATGGGGAGTAGTTTGGGACCAGTTGGGGCTTGGTTTGGGACACGTTCAGAACTATATACAAAATTTTTTCGCACTCATAATTGTTATCAAAAGACTTTTATAATATAAGTCTCAAAATAAAAGTCTTTGAAGACATAAAAATATTTATCTCAATGATAATTGTTATGACAAGACTTTTATAATAGAAGTCTCAAAATAAAAGTCTTTGCAGACTTAAAAATATTTATCTCGCTGGTAATTATTATAAAAAGGCTTCTATTATATCAGTTTAAAATAATAGTTATCGATGACTTAAAAAAATTTTCTCACACATAATTATTATCAAAAGGCTTTTATAATTTGAACGAAAAATTTGGATGAATTTTTTAAAACTGAAATAATTATTATTCTGGTTCCCTGATAAATAATAATAATTATATGGTACCTCCAATATTAAAATTGAATTATTTTAATAATTAATAATTAAGTCAGAAAGTCGGCCGCTGTGGTGTAGTGGTAAGCAGTGCGCGCTTCCACTCCGCTGCGCCTGGGTTCAACCCCTGGTAAAAGCAACATCGAAAAAAAAAAATAGAAAAAAGGTTTTTTCTTAACAGCGGTCGTCCCTCGGCAGGCAATGGCAAACCTCCGAGTGTATTTCTGCCATGAAAAACAGCTTCTCATAAAAATACAATCGCCGTTCGGAGTCGGCGTTAAACTGTAGGTCCCTCCTCTTTGTGTGACAACATCAAGGCGCACGCCACAAATCGGAGGAGAAGCTCGGCCAAACACTAACATATGTGTAAGCGCCAATCTATTATTATTATTATTAAGTCAGAAAGTAAGTACATGTCGTTAATAAACGATAGGAAAACCAACAACAATAGAAGTTATAGCTGCTGACTTCTTCATTGAGTTGGCTGGGACTTGAATAGCAACTATAACTTCTACCAGTTGTAAATTACAGTCGACGAATCTTATATTGTTCGCTTAATTCGTAATTTCGAAAAATTTGTTAAATCGAGTGATTTTTTTCTATAATAACCGCATCTTTTCAAATGAATAACTAAATACATTCAGTTTAAAAAGTATAATATATTATATTGTAATACATATAAATATATATGTTGTATAAATATATTATATTGTATTTAATTCAACGAACAAATAATTCGAACGTTTTTCGCACTGCAATTTTTTGCAAATCTCTTAATACCGAAAGCAGGGTTGTGTGATTTCAAATCCTTTTTGATTTAAAATCCGTTTTTAATAAACAAATATATTGATTTACGATTTGGTTTGTTGGCCAAATAAAAAATAAAATTTATTTGCGATTTAATTGGTCAACCATATAAGAAATAAATTTTATTTGTGAATTGCTTGGTCAACCAAATAAAACACAAGTTTTATTTGTGATTTACTTGGTCAACCAAATAAGAGATAAATTTTATTTCTGATTGGCTTGGTCAACCAAATAAAATATAAGTTTTATTTGTGATTTGATTCGTCAGCCAATTAAAAAATAAAATTTATTTGTGACTTGAATCGCCTTCCACATAAGAAATAAAATTTATTTGTGATTTGATTGATAGAGCGGATCAATTTGATTCGTGATTTTTCAGCTAAATATTACTTTTTTATGCAACACACATACGATATTCAGTTATCTCCCAACTTCCACTTCGGGATTTTTGGGACTATTTCGAGATTTTCTGGGTTCTCGGGACCATATCGGGATCTGCTTAGAAATTTTCGGGGTTCTCGGGATCTTAGGGACTACTTCAGGATTTTTTGGAGTTTGTGGACTATTGCGGGATTTTCGAGATTTATTAGGAATTTCTTTTTTTTCGAGACTACTTCAAAATCTTCGGAATTCTCGGGAATATATCGAGATTTTTGAGACCATTTCGGAATTTTCGGACTATTTGGGGATTTTCGAGATTTCTCTAGGATTTGCGGAACTATTTCGGGATTTTTGGGGTTCTCGGGTCCATATCGAGATCTGTGGGACCACTTCGGCATTTTTGAACTATTTCGGATTTTTGAGACTAATTCCGAATTTTTGGTACTATTTCGGAGTTTTAAGACTACTTCGAGATTTCCAGAGGGATTTTTTCGGAATTTTTGGGACCAATTCTTGGATTTTGGGACTATTTGGAGTTTTTCGAACAACTTCGAGATTTTCGGGCTTCTCTGGATTTTCGGGACTACTTCGGAGAACTTGCACTATTTCGGAATTTTCGAGACCTTTCGGGACTATTTCGGGTCTTCCAAGACCAATTACGAGAACCTCGAAAATCTCGAAAAACCCGAAATAGTCCCAATACTTCCGATTTTGTCCCAAAAATCTCTAACTGGTAGTAGTAAGTAGTCTCGAAAAACCCGAAATAGTACCGAAAATCCCGAAGAAATCGCGAAATAGTCCAACAATCCCAGAATAGTTGCAAAATTCCCGATATATTCCCGAGATCCCCGAAAATCTCGAAGTTGTCCTAAAAATTCCGATATAGTCCCAAAAATTTGAAAATCTCGAAGTAGGCTCGAAACACCCGAAATAGTCCCAAAAATTCCAAAGTAGTCCCGAAGTTCCCGATGTAAAATAATCTCGAAAATCCCGAGAAAATCTCCAAAATCCCGAAGTGGCCCCAACCATACCGAATTAGTTCCAAAATCCTGAAAATGCCGAAGAAGTCTCGAAAACCCCGAAGCAGTTCCAAAAACCAAAATAGTCCCAACCAAGTAGTCCCGATATGGTCCCGAGAACCCCGAAAATCTCGAAGTAGTCTCTAAAATCCCGAAGGTGGAAGTGGGAAGATACTTGAATATCGTATATGTGTTGCATAAAAAAGTAATATTCAGCTGAAAAAACAACGAATGCAATTGATTCGCTCTACAAATCAAATCACAAATAAATTTGATTTCTTATTTTTCTTTGATTCAAATTACAAATAAATTTGATTTCTGATTAGGAAGGTGATTAAAATCACCAATAAATTTTATTTCTTATTTGGTCGACGAATCAAATCACAAATAAATTTGATTCCTTATTTGGTTGTCCAAGCAAATCACAAATATATTTTAGCTCTAATTTGGTTGACGAATCAAATCACAAATAAAATTTACTTTTTATTTGGTTGACGATCAAATCACAAATAAAAATTATCTTTTATTTGGTTGACCATGCAAATCACAAATAAATCTTATTTTTTATTTGGTTGACGAAGCAAATCACAAATAATTTTATTTTTTATTTCAAATAAAATTTATTTAGGATTTGATGCAACTTTCAATTCAGAAATAAATTTGATTTATGGATTTGTGATTTGACTAAATCAAAATCACGCAACCCTGACCAAAAGTATCTTGATGTTAAAACCAATTACTTACATATATATTTTCTGCAGTTAACTATCGTTGACTTAACGAACCGTTTGCGTTCGTAATATCGAAAGATCAATGAGATAATTTTGTGATTCGTTAAACCGAAAACTAGATATTCCGAAAGACTGGAAGTGCACTGTATTGTTGTTTTTCCACAACATTTTTCATTAAAAACGGCCTCAAGCTCAAAAAAGATTGTTGAATATTATTATTTGCCCAAGAATAACACTAAACCAATAACTTAATGGAAGTTTAAATTTCTAAACATAGAATCTTGAAAAAAAAAACCGACAACCACATGATCAAATCTAAGTAGCTGGGTTGACTAAATGAAAAAGTGGAAAAAGCAACAACAATTTACATGGCGAACTTAGCTTAAGGGGTAATATCATTGGCTTTGAATGCCGAAGTTGCGAGCAGGATTGCCGTTTTAGGCTTTTTCTATTCCGACATCCCGGACAATTTTCCATGTCCCGAAATCCCGGGATTACAACTCCGGGATCCCGAGATTTTTACTTATTCATTTACAGAATGAAAGAGATAATGAAAACAAAAAAAAAA